TGGGGTCTTTTTTTTTTTTTTTTTTGAGACGGAGTTTCACTCTTGTTACCCAGGCTGGAGTGCAATGGCACGATCTTGGCTCACCACAACCTCCGCCTCCTGGGTTCAGGCAATTCTCCTGCCTCAGCCTCCTGAGTAGCTGGGATTACAGGCACGTGCCACCATGCCCAGCTGATTTTTTGTATTTTTAGTAGAGACAGGGTTTCACCATGTTGACCAGGATGGTCTCGATCTCTCGACCTTGTGATCCACCCGCCTCAGCCTCCCAAAGTGCTGGGATTACAGGCTTGAGCCACCGCGCCCGGCTGAGATGGGGTCTTGCTCTGTCACCCAGGCTGGAGTGCAGTGGTGAGATCTCTGCTCACTGCAACCTCTGCCCTCAATGGCCCAAGTGATCCTCCCACCTCAGCCTCCCAAGTAGCCGGGACCACAGACGCATCCCTCCACACACCCAGCTTTTTTGTTGTTGTTGTATTTTTGGTAGAGCTGGGATCTCACCATGTTGTCCAGGCTGGTCTCAAACTCCTGGGCTCAAGCAATCTGTGCGCCTCAGTTTCCCAGAGTGCTGGGATTACAGATGTCAGTCAATGCACTGGTCCAAAGGTAAGTATTCCGAGCATGTTTAAGGTAGGTTAGGCTAAGCTATGATGTCCAGTAGGTTAGGTGTATTAAATACATTTTCAGTGTGTGATATTTTCTCCTTATGATGGGTTTACTTGGATATAACCACCTCAAAGAGCATCTGTATATGTCCACATAAAGAAATAAAATAGTGACAGGATCCTGCTGTCATCCAGGCTGGAGTGCAGTGGTGCACACAGCTCACTGCAGCCTCGACCTCTTGGGCTCAAGCAATTCTCCCACCTCAACCTTGCAAGTAGCTGGAACTATAGGCATGCACCACCTCACCTGGCTAATTTTTAAATTTTTCTGTAGAGATGGGGTCTCGCTTTGTTGCCCCAGCTGGTCTCAAACTCCTGGTCTCGAGTGATCCTCCTGCCTAGTCTCCCAAAGTGTCAGGATTACAGGCATGAGCCACTGCACCTGGCATCCATACAAAGACTTGTACATGAATGTTCATAGCAACTTTATTTCTCATACTCGAAAACTGGAAACAACCCATACATCCACTGGTGAATATGTGATAAACAACGGTCCTTTTGCACAGTGGAATACTACTCCGCAGTAGATGGAATGAACACCGTGAATGGATCTCTCAACTGCAGCCAGATCAGCTTCTTCTGCTCACTTGGGGGAACTTTTTTTTTTTTTTAAGAGATGGGGTCTCGCTATGTTGCCCAGGCTGGAGTACAATGGCTGTTCACAGGCGTGATCCCACTACTGATCAGCACGGGAGTTTTGACCTGCTCCATTTCCGACCTGGGCCGGTTCACCCCTCCTTAGGCAACCTGGTGGTCCCCCGTTCCCGGGAGGTCACCACATTGATGCCGAACTTAGTGTGGACACGTGATCGGCATAGCGCCCTACAGCCCAGCACTCCTGGGCTCAAGCGATCCTCCAGCCTCAGCCTCCCAAATAGCTGGGACTAGAGGCACACGCAACTGCACCCTGCCGCTTGGGGGAACTTTTATCCATCTTTACCCCATGTGTCTCCTCCCACCCCAGATTTGGGCTCTGTTCTAAGTGAGCACTACCCAGAGGTGGAAAATCTGCTTATCACATTGCTCATTTATTTATATAGATTATAGCACGTGCCTGTAATCCCAGCTAATCAGGAAGCTGAGGAAGGAGAGTCGCTTGAACCTGGGACACAGAGGTTATAGTGAGCCAAGATGCTGTCACTGCACTTGAGCCTGGGTAACAGAGTGAGACTCCATATATATGTACATGGAGAGAGAGAGAGAGAGAGAGAGAGAGAGAGAGAGAGAGAGAGAGAGAGAGAGAGAGACTTGCTCTGTTGCTCAGGCTGGAATGCAGTGGCGTGATCTTGGCTCACGGCAACCTCCACCTCCCAGTTTCAAGCAATTCTCCTGCCTCAGCCTCCCGAGTACCTGGAACTCCAGGCGCCTGCCACCACACCTGGCTAATTTTTGTATTTTTAGCAGAGACGGGATTTTTACCATGCTGGCCAGTCTGGTCTTGAACTCCTGACCTCAAGTGATCTGCCCGCTTCAGCCTCCCAAAGTGCTGGGATTACAGGCGTGGGCCACCACACCTCCAAGTCATTGATTTTAAAGTTGTAATGATCAGTTTTAAGTCCAAATTTAAAGGTGTCCAATCCCAAAAGCAGGCACAGAGGACCAGCCCTCCAAGGGGTGAAGAGAAGCAGGATCAGAAGGTGTGTATGAGGCCAGGCGTGGTGGCTCATGGCTGTAAGTAATCCCAGCACTTTGGGAGGCTGAGACGGGCAGATCACTTGAGATCAGGAGTTCAAGACCAGTCTGACCAACATGGTGAAACCCCATCTCTATTAAAAATTCGAAAATCAGCCGGGTGTGGTGGCACACGCCTGTCATTCCAGCTACTCGGGAGGTTGAGGAAAGAGAGTGGCTTGAACCCGGGAGGCAGAGGTTGTAGAGAGCTGAGATGGTGCCACTGCACTCCAGCCTGGGTGGCAGAGTGAGACTCTGTTTCAAAAAAGAAAAAGAAAAAGGTGTATATGAGCTCTTGTGGCTGCTGTCACAAATCACTACAGGCCTGGCAGCATCAAACAACAGAAATTTATTCTCTGACAGTTCTGGCAGACAGAAGTCCAACATCAAGGTATCAGCAGGGCCACGTCCCCTCTAAAGGCTCTAAGAAAGAATGCATCCCCTGCCTCCCTCCTGATTTCTGGTTGCTGCTGGCAATCCCTGGGTTCTCTGACTCAAGACTCATCGATCCGACCTCTGCCCCTGTCTCCACGTGGTGTCTTCCCCATGCGTTTCTCTGTATTTTTCTCTACTTCATGTGAGGAACCAGGCACTGGGTTCATCCATCCTCCTCCAGTAAGACTTTTTTTTTTTTTCTTTTTCTTTTTTGAGATGGAATCTCGCTCTGTCACCAGGCTGGAGTGCAGCGGCGCCATCTCGGCTCACGGCAGCCTCCAACTCCCTGGTTCAAGCGATTCTTCTGCCTCAGCCTCCAGAGTAGCTGGGATTGCAGGCACGCGCCACCATGCCCAGCTAAGTTTGTATTTTTAGTAGAGACGGGGTTTCACTATGTTGGTCAGGATGGTCTCCATCTTCTGACCTCGTGATCCACCCGCCTTGGCCTCCCAAAGTGCTGGGATTACAGGCGTGAGCCACCGCGCCCGGCCAAGACCTCTTTTAATGTCACCAATTATACCTGCAAAGATCCTGTTTCCAAGTAAGCTCACGTTCTAAGGTTCTGGGTGAACATGATTTTTGGGGGGGACACAACCTAATTCAAGAGCCTCCATTGTCAGGGGAGGAGGGGACGTCAGCAGGCTCAGGGTGATGGGAGATATAGCAGGGGTGTGGGCCAAGGTCGGAGGCCACGTGGGGTCTGATTCATCACCTCCCCAATCCCAGGAAGAAAATAAAGAAGGGGCTGAGCACAGGGCACCACGCCTGTAATCCCAGCCCTTTGGAAGGTCAAGGCAGGAGGATCACCTGAGTTCAGGCATTCGAGACCAGCCTGGCCAACATGGCAAAACCCCATCTCTACAAAAACACAGAATTACAAATATTCCCTGGGGCATGGTGGCACTCACTTGTAATCCCAGCTACTTAGGTTGCTGAGGCAGGAGAATCGTTTGAACCCAGGAGGCAGAGGTTGCAGTGAGTGGAGATTGCACCACTGCATCCAGTCTGGGTGACAGTGAGACTGTCTCCAAAAAAAAAAAAAAAAAAGAACAAAGAAAGGAGAGAGAGTTGGTGTTCATCTCTTGGTTTGCTGGATTGCTTGGATGCCTGGATTGCTATTGTGTCTTTGGCCAAGCCATTGCCCTCCCCTCTCAGCCTCAGTTTCTCTGCCTCTGAAATGGAGCAAGCACAAGGAGGTCTGGCCTGAGGACTTCCAAAATGCTTGCTAAGGTTAAACACAGGCTGGGCACAGTGGCTCTGGCTGGCGTGGTGTTTCACACCTGTAATCCCAGCACTTTGAGAGGCTGAGGCAGGTGGATTATTTGAGGTCAGGAGTTCGAGATCAGCCTGACCAATATAATGAAACCCTGTCTCTACTAAAAATACAAAAATTAGGTGGGTGTGATAGTGGGTGCCTATAATCCCAGCTACTCGGGAGGCTGAGGCAGGAGAACTGCTTGAACCTGGGAGGCCGAGGTTGCGGTGAGCCGAGATCGCACCATTGCACTCCAGCCTAGGTGACAAGAGCTAAACTCTGTCTCAAAAAAATAATAAGGTTAAACCCACTTCGAGTAAGAGCTGGGGTCTTTCTCAGATCCTGATGTTAGGCCTGGGAGCTTCTCATGTTGTCCAGAGGGACTCTAACTTCCTTCTATCATAGATTGAGAAAAATGGTAGGCTGGATACAGCGGCTCATGCCTGTAATCCCAGCACTTTGGGAGGCCGAGGTGGGCGTATCCCTTGAGGTCAGGAGTTCAAGACTAGACTGACTGACATGGTGAAATCCTGTCTCTACTAAAAACACAAAAAGTTAGCCAGGCGTGGTGGCACACGCCTGGAATCCCCGCTACTTGGGAGGCTGAGGCAGGAGAATTGCTGGAACCTGGGAGGCAGAGGTTGCAGTGAGCTGAGATCACACCACCGCACTCCAGCCTGGGCAACGAGCAAGACACCATCTCAAAAAAAAAAAAAAAAAAAAAGAGAGAGAGAGAGAAACCCAGCTTTATTTTGGGGGAGCCATCGGGGCCACAGCATCTCATGAAGCAGGGGGATGGATTTAAACCATGACCTCCCGGAGGCAGGGCCTGGTCTCTTCCCACGGGGTAGGGCCTAGAGTCCCGAACTCATTTGCATACAAGACAATCCAGCCAATCGGAGCCGAGGTTGTGAGCCGCGGTCTGGGATTGGCCCATCCTGAGGTTCCAGCCCAGGGCATGAGTCCCTCAGCGGTCCTCAGAGGTTTGTCTCCCGCTGGTCCGGACCACCATCATGTCCACTGCAGGCGGTCCAGGAGCCCACCCCCTCCAGCTCCTTCTGCCCCAGGAAAAACAGACGGTCCTCACTGGTGGGCAGGAAGCCAGGGGGCTTCTTGGTTCCAGGGGGGACTTCTTCAGGATCCTGGGGTAAGTGGGGAAGAGAGATCGCATCAGAGACCCTGTCCCCGCCCTCTTCCAGGTCAGCTCATCTCCCAGATGGGGGGCCTGCACGGAATTGCGCGATTGCCCCTCATCCAGTGCACGGGCCAGTCTTGTCCCCTCTGCCTGCAACATTTCCGGGAGCTTCTCTTCCCCACTCACGTGTCACCTACAGCCCAGGCCATCAGCACTTTCTCAGATGCCTGCTCTAGGTCCCCCCTCCTCTCTCTGCTTCTCTGCCTGTTCACCTTCAGGAAAATAAATATTTCTGGCCAGACACGGTGGCTCACCCACTGTAATCCTAGCACTTTGGGAGGCCAAGGTGGGCAGATCACTTGAACCCAGGAGTTTAAGACCAGCCTGGCCAACATGGCAAAACCCCATCTCAACCAAAAATGCAAAAATTAACCAGACAGGGTGGTGCATGCCCCGTAATCCCAGCTACTCAGGAGGTTGAAAGACAGGAGAAATTCTTGGGCCATGGAGGTCAAGGCTGCAGTGAGCCATGATCATGACACTGTGCTCCAGTCTGGGCAATAGAGTGAGACCCTATCTCAAAAAAAAAAAAGACAACAAAAAAAGAAAAAGAAAATAATAAAGAACAAAAAAAAGAAAAGAAAGAAAAAAGAGAAAGAAAGAAAAGAAAAGGAGGAGGGGAGAGGAGGGGAGGGGAGGGGGGAGGGTAGAGAAGGGAAAGGAGGGAAAGGGAGGGAGGTAAGGGGGGGCAGGTAGGGGAGGGGAAGGGAGGGGAGGGGAGGGGGAGAAAAGACAAATATTTCTCCAGGGCAGCTGTAGGGAGCTTTAAAGCCCTTCAGCCAAACCTCTCCCCTCCCCAGTCCCCTTTTCAGTCAGACCTGTTCCTGTCTGTGGCAGGTTCCTTCTCCAAAGTCAGGATCGATCAATGTCACCTCTCCCAAGAGGCCACCCCTGACTTCCCTGGCTAAAGTTGCTCCCCATCACAGCATCCGGTTTCATTGTCCTTTAAATGCTTATCATGCTGAGACCCTACATGTCTCTCTCTCTTTTTTTCTTTAAATCACTCCTGCTGTGCTACCTATGTTTCTCTTTCGTTTTCTTTCTCCTTCCTTTCTTCCTTCCTCCCTCCCTTCCCTTCCTTCCTTCCCTCCCTCCCTACCTCCTTCCCTCCCTCCCTCCCTTCCTCCTTTTTGACGAAATCTCACTCTGTCACCCAGGCTGGAGTGCAGTGGCACAATCTCAGCTCACTACAACCTCCGCCTCCTGGGTTCAAGTATTCAATTCTCCTGCCTCAGCCTCCCGAGTAGCTGGGATTACAGGCACATGCCACCATACCCAGCTAATTTTTGTATTTTTAGTAGAGACGGGTTTTCGCCATGTTAGGCTGGTCTTGAGCCTGTGGCCTCAAGCGATCTGCCCACCTCAACCTCCCACAGCGCTGGGATTACAGGCATGAGCCACCATGCCCGGTCTGACGGCATCCGGTTTTATTAGCTTTTGAATGCTTATCGTATGCTAGAATCCTACATGTGCCGGGCACGGTGGCTCAGGCCTGTAATCCCAGCACTTTGGGAGGCTGAGGCAGGTGGATCACGAGGTCAGAAGTTCAAGACCAGCCTGGCCAAGATGGTGAAACCCCATCTCTACTAAAAATACAATAATTAGCCAGGCGTGGTGGCAGATGCCTGTAATCCCAGCTACTCAGGAGGCTGAGGCAGGAGAATTGCTTGAACCCGGGAGGCAGAGGTTGCAGTGAGCCAAGGTTGCACCATTGCACTCCAGCCTGGGTAGCAGAGTGAGACTCCGTCTCAAAAAAAAAAAAAAAAAAAAAAAAAAAAAAGCTGGGCGCTGTGGCTCACACCTGTAATCCCAGCCCTTAGGGAGGCAGAGGCGGGAGGATAGCTTGAGCTCAGGAGTTCGAGACCTGCCTGGGCAATATAGCGAGACCCCATTCTCCATAAAAAGGAAAAAAAAAAAAAAGACAAAAAAGCCTAACATGCCAGATGTAGGTGATGGAGGATGGAGGCAGCAAACCACATTGCCGTGTGTGTGCCTATGCAACAATCCTGCATGATCTGCACATGTACCCCAGAACCTAAAGTACAATAAGAAAACAAACAAACAAAAAAACCCTTAAGGTCCCACATGTTTCTCTTTTTAGTTTTCACCTGCCCCTGTTAGATGAGGGCAGGGTGGGGGCTCAGACCCCAGCCCAGAGCAGGACTGGGTACACAGCACGTGCTCAATAAATGAGAGAATGGAACAGAGAATCCAAAACAGGGGGAAGGCCTGGGATCAGGTCCCCCGGGGACAACCTTTTCCAAACTCTGGGAATTCACAAAGCAACCACGCAGCTTTAGCCAAAATCGGTCGACCATCTGTTGTGTTTCTTATGTAAGATATTTCCTCCAAGTTGACTCACTTTTGAATTAAGTAATTTTATTTTAAGAAGAGACTTTACATCAATACCCTAACGGCATACCAGTTTCACCTGCCAAAGACTGGAAGTCACTGTCAAAACAGATAACTACAAAAAGGAATAGTATTAAACTTTGTTCAGTCCTCATGAAGTGAGGCAATAAAAGCTTGAAGATGAGGCCGGGTGCAGTGGTTAACGCCCGTCATCCCAGAACTTTGGTAGTTCAAGACGGGTGCATCATTTGAGGTCAGGAGTTTGAGACCATCCTGGGCAACACGGTTAAACCCCATCTGTACTAAAAATACAAAAATTAGCTGGATGTGGTGGCGCACACCTGTAGTACCAGCTACTCAGGAGGCCGAGGCAGGAGAATTGACTGAACCAAGAGGTGGAGGTTGCAGTGAGTTGAGATTGCACCACTGCACGCCAGCCTGGGTAACAGAGCGAGACTCTGTCTCAAAAAACAAACAAAAAGGAATAGTATTAAGCTCTGTTCAGTCCTCGTGAAGGGAGATAATAAAGACTCTTGAAGATGAATCAGCTCCCGGCTGGGTGCAGTGGCTCACACCTGTAATCCCAGCACTTTGGGAGGCCAAGGTGGGTGGATCACCTGAGGTCAGGTGTTCAAGACTAGCCTAGCCAACATGGTGAAACCCCGTTTCTACTAAAAATACAAAAAATAGCCAGGCATGGTGGCAAGTGCCTATAATCCCAGCTACTTGGGAGGTTGAGGCAGGAGAATTGCTTGAACCCAGGAGGTAGAGGTTGCAATGAGCTGAGATCATGCCACTGCACTCCAGCCTGGGTGACAGAGTGAGACTCTGTCTCAAAAAAAAAAAAAAAAAAAAAAAGAAAAAGATGAATCAGCTCCCAACGGAGTCTTTTGACTAGAGAGAATGAGAGATACAGAGACACCACATCCCTCCCTTGAGCCATGGTGATGCCCCAAAGCCACCTGGCTGCCTCTAGCTCTGGGAACCCATCCTAAGACTGACCTTGACCAAGCTGTCATCCAGGATGGCCACTTCTTCCTTGGGGGCCACTGATGCTGTCTGCTGTGCAAGGTCCCACCATAACAATCCCGGAGCCAGGGCACTGCGCTTGGTGGGGCCTGAGAGGTGGGCAGAAATGGAGAAATCCAGGCATTGAATGAAGGGGTGATGGGGGTTGGAGACCAGACCCTGAGAAGGAAAAGGGAGATCCCTGGACTATGAAGTCTAATAGGCTCCAGTCCCACTGAGGGACCCTGGCAAGCCTCTGAGCTTCAATTTCCTCATCTACACAGTGAAGTTGTAACAAAACATCAGTGAGGCCAGGCACAGTGGCTCATGCCTATAATCGCACCTTGGGAGTTTAAGGTGATAGGATTGCTTGGATTGGCCCAGTAGTTGGAGACCAGTCTAGGCAACATAGTGAGACTCCATCTCTACAAAGTATTTTTAAAAAATAGCCAGGCATAGTGGCACGTGCCTCTAGTCTCAGCTACTTGGGAGGCTGAGACAGGAGGATCGCTTGAACCCAAGAGGTTGAGGCCGCAGTGAGCCATCATTGTACACTCCAGCCTGGTGACAGAGACCCTGTTTCAAAAACAAAGCAAACAAGAACAGTGGAGGTTGGGCACAGTGGCTCACATCTGTAAACCCAGCACTTTTGAAGGCCGATGTGGGGGATCACTTGAGGTCAGGAGTTCGAGACCAGCCTGGCCAACATGGTGAAACTCCATTTCTACTAAAAGTACAAAAATTAGCCAGGTGTGTTGGTGGGCGCCTGTAATCCCAGCTACTTGGGAGGCTGAGGCAGGAGAATCTCTTGAACTCAGGAGGCGGAAGTTGCGTGAGCCAAGATCGCGCCATTGCACTCCAGCCTGGGAGACAAGAGTGAAATTGCATCTCAAAAAACAAAACAAAACAAAACAAAACAAAACAAAACAAAACAACAAAGACATTAGTGGATGGCAGGGAGGGTCCAGGATGGCAGGGAGGGTCCAGCCTGGCAGGATTCCTTTCACTGCTGTATCCCCAGTGCCTAAAATAGCACCCAGCACAGAGGGAGACTTGATAAAGTCCTGATGAATGCGAAGTCTGAGACTCAAGAAGTGTGAGCAGGTACTGCTATCACTGCTGATTTCCCCTCTTTGTCTCCTTCTACTTTTCTGTGGAATTTAGAATTCCCTAAGAAGTGTGGAGTCACCAGCAGCCTTAGGAGAAGATATTTCAGCACCAGGGATAGCACCGCCCGCCCCATCCCGCATCCTCTGCTGAGGACTTAATCTTGTGGGAGATAGGAGTTGGAGGCGATGCCTCAAGTTTCTGCCTCTGCAAAACAGGGCAAGCTCTGACAGGTGGAGGGTTGTCAAGAAAGCGACATAGCTTTAAAGGATGTAAATGTGAGCCTGGCATATTGGCGCGCGCCTGTAGTCTCAGCTACTCAGGAGGATGAGGTGGGAGGATTGCTTTCAGCTCAGGAGTTGAAGGTTGCAGTGAGCCATGGTCGTGCCACTGCACTCCCGCCTGGGTAACGGAGTAAGAGCTGGATTTTTTGTTTTTGTTTTTGTTTTTTGTTTTTGTTTTGAGATGGAGTCTCACTCTGTCGTCCAGGATGGAATGCAGTGACCCAGTCTCGTCTCACTGAAACCTCCACCTCCCGGGATCAAGCAATTCTCTTACCTCAGCCTCCCGAGTAGCTGGGATTACAGGGGCCAGCCACCACACCCAGCTAATGTTTTTTGTATTTTTAGTAGAGACGGGGTTTCACCATGTTGGCCAGGCTGGTCTTGAACTCCTGACCTCAGGTGATCCACCTGCCTTGGCCTCCCAAAGTGCTGAGATTACAGGCATGAGCCACCATGCCCAGCCGACTCCATCTCTTAAAAGAAAAAAAAAAAAATATATATATATATACACACACACACACACACACACACACACACACACACACATAAGTATATACGTACATAGTTATAATACATATATAATTTCTTTTATGTATATATTCATAATTTATATGTATAATTTCTTTTATGTATGTATATCTACATCAAAGAAAAGTGTATATATATATATGTACACACACACACACACTTTTTTTTTCCTTTTTAAAAAAATAGGGTACAGCCCAGGTGCGGTGGCTCACGTCTCTAATCTCAGAACTTTGGGAGGCCGAGGTAAGCAGATCACTTGAGCCCAGGAGTTTGACATGCATGGCGAAACTCTATCTCTTCTAAAAATCCAAAATTAGCTGGGCGTGGGGGTGCACACTTGTAATCCCAGCTACTCAGGAGGCTGAGACATGAGAATCTCTTGAACTCGGAAGGTGGAGGTTGTGATGAGTCAAGATCGTGCCATTGCACGGGCAACAAGAGCAAAACTCCGTCTAAAACATAATAATAATAATAATAATAACATGCAAATATGTACAGCACGCAGTGGTAGCTCCGCCAATGGGAGCATCCCTTCTCCCCTCCCTTCTGGGTGGAGCCTTGCGGCAGAGAGATGAATGGGGTGACTTCTAAGCCCACAGGCTCTATCTACCTACCTGTCAGGCAGCTGATGAGGGCTCCGCATAGCACAGTGGTCAGTGTGCCCAGGGCACCATAATAGAGATAGGAGATGGCATAGAAGCTGTCAGCTAAGGCGGATCTGCTGGCGTCCATTCCTGAGCTGGGGTTTGGGAGAGACAGAGTTGAATCTCTTCTTTTATTCTGTCTGCAATCAAAAGCTGTTCCCACCACACTTCCTAATTCAGGCATTCCCCAAACCGAGGGCTGCATGCGGCCCCCTGAGGCCATTTATCCAGCCCGCCCCTCCCCCCCCCCACCCGCACCCTGCCGCATTTCAGGAAGGGGCACCTCTTTCATTGGTGGTCAGTGAGAGGAGCACAGTATGTGGCGGCCCTCCAACGGTCTGAGGGACAGTGAACTGGCCCCCTGTGTAAAAAGTTTGGGGATGCCTGCCCTAATTCCTTCCCCCAATTGCCATGGCCTAGCACATACCTCCATTGCTGTCTGCCCAGACCTGTGCAGTAGCCAATGGTCCTTCCCTCCAGGTAACCCATCCCCATCCCAGAAGTCGTCCTCCACACACAGCCAGAGGGCGAATTACTAAAATGTAACTCAGATCACCTCCTGCTGCTGCCCATCACCCTCTGTGGCTCCCTGTCACCCTCAAAATCAAACCAAATTAAACTCTCAGAAGAAGACACAGGTGGGAATCTTCATGACTGCAGTTGTTTCTTACATATGATCAAAAGCAAAAGCCCACCAAGAAAAAAATAAATAAATTGGACTTGATCAAAAATTAAAAATTTCTGCCTGGCTGTGGTAGCTCATGACTGTAATCCCAACACTTTGGGAAGTCAAGGCAGGTGGATCACCTGAGGTCATGAGTTTGAAACTAGCCTGGCCAACATGGTGAAACCCCATCTCTACTAAAAATACAAAAATTAGCTTGGCATGGTGGTGTACACCTGCAGTCCCAGCTACTCAGGAGGCTGAAGTGGGAGAATCCCTTAAACCTGGGTGGTGGAGGTTGCAGTGAAATGAGATTGCATCACTGCACTCCAGCCTAGGCAACAGAGCGAGACTCCATCACACACACACACACACACACACACACACTTTAAAAATTTCTGTGCATCACAAATCAAAGGATTCTATCGAGAGAATGAAGACAATCTACAGAATGGGAGAAAATGTCACATGCAAATTACACATCTGACAGGGGCTTGTATCCAGAATATATAAAGATATAAAAATATATAAATTATAACTCTCAACAATAAAAAGACAAATCATTCAATTTAAAATTGGGCAAATGGCTTTTTTTTTTTTTTTTTTTTTTTTTTTTCGAGACGAAGTTTCGCTCTTGTTACCCAGGCTGGAGTGCAATGGCTCGATCTCGGCTCACCGCAACCTCCGCCTCCTGGGTTCAGGCAATTCTCCTGCCTCAGCCTCCTGAGTAGCTGGGATTACAGGCACGTGCCACCATGCCCAGCTAATTTTTTGTATTTTTAGTAGAGACGGGGTTTCACCATGTTGACCAGGATGGTCTCGATCTCTCGACCTCGTGATCCACCCGCCTTCGGCCTCCCAAAGTGCTGGGATTACAGGCTTGAGCCACCGCGCCCGGCGGCTTTTTTTTTTTTTTTTTTTTTTAAATTTGAGACAGGGGCTTGCTGTTGCCCAGGATGGAGTGCAGTGGTGAGACCACGCCTCACTGCAGTCCTCAGCCTCCCAGGCTCAAGCGATCTTCCTGCCTCAGCCTCCTGAGTAGCTGAGACTACAGGTGTGCACCACCATGCTCAGCTACACTTTTCATTTTTATTTTTGTAGAGATGGGGTATTTCTATGTTGCCCAGGCTGGATTAAATAGACATTTATCCAAAGAAGATACACCAGTGGCCAATACACACATGAAAAGATGCTCACCATCCTTACACCTCAGGGAAATGCAAATCCTTTGTGATACCATGGTGGTATCACTTCACACCCACTAGGATGGAGAAAAAGAAGTATTGGCGAGGACGTGGAAGTTGCTGGTGGGAGTATAAAAGGATGCAGCCGCTGTGGAAAAGTCTGGTAGTTCCTCAGAAAGTTAAACATAGGCCACGCATGGTGGCTCAGGCCTGTAATCCCAGCACGTTGGGCGGCCGAGGCATGTGGATCACCAGAGGTCAGGGGTTTGAGACCAGCCCTGGCCAACGAAACGTGGTGAAGCCCCTTCTCTACTAAAAATACGAAAAGTAGCCGGATGTGGTGGTGTGCGCCTGTAATCCCAGATACTTGGGAGGCTGAGGCAGGAGTATTGTTTGAACCCAGGAGGCAGAGGTTGCCTGGCCTAAATGCCACTTTAAAATGGCTAATTTTCTCTCAATAAAAAATAGAATCAAACCTAATTCTGGGCCTCCCTCAAGCTGGGAGGATTGCTTGAGCCTGAGAGGTTGAAGCTGCAGTGAGCTGGGACTGCACCACTGCACTCCAGCTTGGATAACAGAGCGAGACTGTCTCAGGAAAACAAAACAAAAATAAAGTATTAACTTCCAGCCAGGTGCGGTGGCTCACGCCTGTAATCCCAGCACTTTGGGAGGCTGAGGTGGGCAGATCACCTGAGGTCGGGCTTTCGAGACCAGCCTGACCCACATGGAGAAAGCCCGTCTCTACTAAAAATGGAAAATTAGCTGGGCGTGGTGTCACGTGCCTGTAATCCCGGCTACTCAGGAGGCTGAGGCAGGAGAATTGCTTGAACCCAGGAGGCGGAGGTTGCAGTGAGCCGAGATCGCGCCATCACACTCCAGCCTGGGTAACAAGAGTGAAACTCCGTCTCAAAAAAGCACAAACTTCCTCTGGCTGCACCATGTCTCCTATCCATTTCTCTTCCCATTAAACGCACCCTAACCTCAGTGTAGCTGGACTGGGACTAAACTGAATGTGGCCTCAGGGCCTTTGCACCTGGGATTCCCTCCACCGGGAATGCATTTTACTAATCAGGCTTCTTATGCAGAGTGCAGGGCATTTAAGTTTCCCTTTAAGATCACCCCCCGGCCGGGCGCGGTGGCTCAAGCCTGTAATCCCAGCACTTTGGAGGCCAAGGCGAGTGGATCACGAGGTTAAGAGATCGAGACCATCCTGGTCAACATGGTGAAACCCCGTCTCTACTAAAAATACAAAAAAGTAGCTGGGCATGGTGGCGCGTGCCTGTAATCCCAGCTACTCAGGAGGCTGAGGCAGGAGAATTGCCTGAACCCAGGAGGCGGAGGTTGCGGTGAGCCGAGATCGCGCCATTGCACTCCAGCCTGGGTAACAAGAGCGAAACTGTCTCAAAAAAAAAAAAAAAAAGAAAAAAAAAAAATCACCCCCCCGCCCCGACCCACCCACCCAAGTCGACTCACCTGGGGGCCCTGCTGGAGTCGTTAGCAGGGAGGCGAGACGGGTCCAGAAGGCCAGAGGCGTTGGCTGAGAGAGCCACGCAGCGGGCAGCCGACGACGGCAGGACCCTCATGGTCTGCTCGCTAGGTGGGTACAGGGTGGCGCCCAGGGCCACCCACAGCGACAGCGCCAAGCCCGCGGCCAGTCCCGAGAGGACGCCCTGGGGGCGGAGCCGGCGTCAGGGGAAGGGCGGGGCCTGCCCGGCCACGCCCCCTCCCCTCCCCTCGCACCGCCCCCACTCACCGGGGTGTTACAGGCGGGAAGGAACATTCCCAAGATGAAGGCTCCGAGGAGGGGGCCGCTGATGACTCCCATGACCGTGAAGGAGCCCTGGGAGAGTAGGTGGGGGTGGGGCTGAGCCCTCCCACTCCTCCAGGCCTCAGTTTACCCGCTGGGAAAGCGAGACCTCAACTCCACTGTGGGTCCCAAGGACGCCTCTGTGCCTCAGTTTCCCTAAAGGGGAGAGAACCTCTGCCCCCGTTCCTGCCTCTCTCCCCTGGAGTGGAGGCAAAGATACTGATTCTTTCTTGGGGGTGGCAATCCCACCCCTAAGCCAGGGAGTCCTTTCTTCTTCTTCCTTTTTTTTTAAATTGAGACAGTCTCCCTCTGCTTGCTGCCCAGGCTGGAGTGCAGTGGCACAATCTCGGCTCACCGCAATGTCTGTGGGGAGGCCCTTTCTGCCTCCAGGCCGCCACCCCCCACCTCCCAATTCCCCTAGCCCAAGCCAGTGGGCTGCAAAAAAGTCACCCGATAGCCTCTGGAATCAAACAGAACTTAGTTCTTAATCTCAGCGACTTGGAAGGCTGAGGCAGGAGGTCACTTGAGACCAGGAGTTCAAGACCAGCCTAGGCACAAAGCAAGACCCTGTCTCTAAAAAAAGGTTTTAAAATTAGCCAGGCCAGGTGCGGTGGCTCACACCTGTAATCCCAGCACTTTGGGAGGCAGAGGCAGGCAGATCACTTGAGGTCAGGAGTTCAAGACCAGACTGGCCAACATGGTGAAATCTAATAAAAATACAAAAATATGAGCCGGGCATGGTGGCGTGCACCTGTAATCCCAGCTACTCTGGAGGATGAAGCAGGACTGCTTAAACCCAGGAAGTGGAGGTTGCAGTGAGCTTAGATCATGCCACTGTACTCTAGCCTGGGCAACAGAGCAACACTCTGTCTCAAAAAAAATAAAGAATAAAAAAGAGCTGGGCACGGTGGCTCAAGCCTGTAATCCCAGTACTTTGGGAGGCCGAGGCGGGTGGATCACGAGGTCAAGAGATCGAGACCATACTGGTCAACATGGTGAAACCCCGTCTCTACTAAAAATACAAAAAATTAGCTGGGCATGGTGGCGCGTGCCTGTAATCCCAGCTCGGGAGGCTGAGGCAGGAGAATTGCCTGAACCCAGGAGGCGGAGGTTGCGGTGAGCCGAGATCGCGCCATTGCACTCCAACCTGGGTAACAAGAGCGAAACTCCATCTCAAAAAAAAAAAAAAAAAAAAAAAAAAAAAAAAAAAAAAAAAAAAGAGGAAGAATAAAAAAGAGCTGGGTGTGGTGGCTCACGCCTGTAATCCCAGCACTTGGGGAAGCCGAGGCGGATGGATCATGAGGTCAAGAGATTGAGACCATCCTGGCCAATATGGTGAAACCCCGTCTCTACTAAAAGTACAAAATTAGCCAGGCATGGTGGCTCTCGCCTGTAGTGCCAGCTACTTAGGCGGCTGAGACAGGAGAATTGCTTGAACTCAGGAGGCGGAGGTTGCAGTGAGTTGAGATCGTGCCACTGCTCTCCAGCCTGGTAACAGAGCAAGACTCCGTCTCAAAAAAGAAAAAGAAAAAGAGAAAAAAAAATAGCCAGGCATGGTGGCACCCATCTGTAACCCCAGCTACTTGGGAGGTTGAGGTGGAAGGATGGCTTGAACCCAGGAGCTGGAGGCTGCAGTGAGCTACGATCAGGCCCCTCTGCACTCCAGCCTGGAACAACACAATGAAATCCCATCTCAAAAAAAAAAAAAAAAAAAAAAAAAAGTAAGTTCTGCTGCTGACACGTGTGACCTCTCTGAGCCTCAGTTCAATGGGAAAGATGCCCTACCTCTCAGGGAGACCAGGGCAGGGAGCTGGTGGGGTCTCACCTGGAGGACACCTCCCCCGAGCAGCGAGGACAGAGCCGCCACAGGTGAGACAGGCTGAGCCGTAGATGAGTGCTGTAGCAGACGGGGGTGGCACGGTCAACGGGGAGAGACGGCCCTGGCCTCCCACCCGGGTCTCCCTGAAACTCACAGAGCCCCTTGGAGATAATCACGAGTTTCCTGGGCGCCAGGCTCTGCTGCCGCGGTTTGATGAGATCTTCTACAGTGACTGCAGCCATGGCATTGATGCTGGTGGATGCTGTGCTGGGTGGGGAAGGCGGCGCGGGCTCCTCAGGCCACATGGAGTGACCGTCCACACCATCTGGCCTGCCAGACCCCACCCGGCCTGAGGGTAGAGGTGTGGGTAACCCAGTCCTGCTGAGGTGAAGGAGATATCCATCCCTCCCCTCCCCAAAGACCTGAGACATCCCCACTGGAGCAAGGACACCTGTGACCAAGGGTAGGCGAGACAGTCAGGGTTCCTGGTTCCAGAGGGACTGCAGTCACAGGTGGGAGACTCACAAAAGGGAGAGTGAGAGTGGGTGACCAGAAGTCCCCAAAGATTGGTAACTACCTGAGTGTATGGCCTGGGAGGGCAGGAACAGGGGGCTGCTTGGTCATGGCTGTGCCCCAGGGTTCAGAGCAACAGAACCTGGGCCGGGCGTGGTGGCTCATGCCTGCAATCCCAGCACTTTGGGAGGCCAAGGTGAGCAGATCACCTGAGGTCACGAGTTCGAGACCAGCCTGGCCAACATGGTGAAACCCCATCTCTACTAAAAATACAAAAATTAGCTGAGGATGGGAGGCTGGGCGCGGTGGCTCAAGCCTGTAATCCCAGCACTTTGGGAGGCCAAGGCGGGTGGATCACGAGGTCGAGAGATCAAGACCATCCTGGTCAACATGGTGAAACCCCGTCTCTACTAAAAATACAAAAAACTAGCTGGGCGTGGTGGCGCGTGCCTGTAATCCCAGCTACTCAGGAGGCTGAGGCAGGAGAATTGCCTGAGCCCAGGAGGTGGAGGTTGCGGTGAGCCGAGATCGCGCCATTGCACTCCAGCCTGGGTAACAAGAGCGAAACTCCGTCTCAAAAAAAAAAAAAAAAAAAAAAAAAAAAAAAAATTAGCTGAGGGTGGTGGCATGTGCCTGTAATCCCAGCTACTTGGGAGGCTGAGGCAAGAGGATTGCTTGAACCTGGGAGGTGGAGGTTGCAGTGAGCCAAGATCGTGCCACTGTACTCCAGCCTGGGTGACAGAGCAAGACTCCGTCTGAAAAAAAAAAAAAAAAAAAAGAACTGGCCAGGCATAGTGGCTCACATCTATAATCCAACCACTTTGGGAGGCTGAGGTGGGTGGATCACCTGAGGTCAGGAGTTTGAGATCAGAATGACCAACATGGAGAAACCCTGTCTCTACTAAAAATACAAAATACAAAATTCGGTGGCGTATGCCTGTAATCCCAGCTACTTGGGAGGCTGAAGCAGGAAAAACACTTGAACCTGGGAGGTGGAGGTTGTGGTGAGCCAAGATCATGTCATTGCACTCCAGCCTGGGCAACAAGAGCACAACTCTGTCTCAAAACAAACAAACAAACAAAAAACAGTACCTGCCATATAGTAGATGCTCAATAAATATTTGTCTGAGGGAGGAAGGAAAGAAGGAAGAAGAAGAGAGGAGAGTCAGGAGTCAGGTGTGGCCCTCACAAGTGATAAGGTAAACATCCTGCAGCCGGGGTCCCCGTGCCCAGGGTGTGCTCTCTGCTGGCACCTACCTGAGCTGTCTGCTAGAGACCAAGCAGGAACTGGGAATGATGGCCAGGTCCAGAACATTCCATGCCCCAGGGGGGATGGCAGGTGGGAACCAGGAGGCTCCCAGGGGCTTAAATAACACTTGCTGAACAAGCAGGGTGCTCACCTAAGGGTGCCGCTGTAAGCACATGCCAGGAAGAGCCCAGGGACTCCAGGCAGGTCCTTGAAGATGTCCAGCACCAGTAGGGGCATGTACTGTGGGTACAAGAACTGGGGGTCAGTCTCCCAGACAGCAGCACCCTGAGGGCAGGGGCTCCTATCTGTCCCGACTCTGCACGTCCCCAGCACCCAGGACAGACAGGATTCATGGTGAGGATTTGATGTGCATTTGGGTTTTGTTTCACTCTGAGGCAAGGTTTTGCTCTGTTGCCCAGGCTGGAGTGCAGCGGCACAGCTGTGGCTCACTGCAGCCTAGAACTCCTGAGCTCGTGATCCTCCCGCCTCAGCCCCACCCCCAGTAGCTGAGATCACAGGTGTGTGCCACCACGCCTGGCTAATTAAAAAAAAAATTTTGGGCTGAGCACAGTGGCTCATGCCTATAATCCCAGCACTTTGGGAGGCCGAGGCAGGTGGATCACGAGGTCAAGAGATCGAGACCATCCTGGTCAACATGGTAAAACCCCATCTCTACTAAAAATACAAAAAATTAGCTGGGCATGTGGCGCGTGCCTGTAATCCCAGCTACTCGGGAGGCTGAGGCAGAAGAATTGCTTGAACCCAGGAGGCGGAGGTTGCGGTGAGCCGAGACTGTGCCACTGCACTCCAGCCTGGGTAACAAAAGCGAAACTCCATCTAAAAAAAAAAAAAAAAAAAAAAAAAAAAATTTGTGTAAAGATGGAGGTTTGGCCAGGCACGGTGGCTCCTACCTGTAATCCCAACATTTTGGGAGGCTGAGGCGGGTGGATCACTTGTGCTCAGGAGTTCACGACCAGCCTGGCCAACATGGTGAAACTTCTCCTCTATCAAAAATGCAAAAATTAGCCAGGTGTGCTGGTCTGCACCTGTAGTCTCAGCTACTTGGGAGGCTGAGGCACGAGAATCGCTTGAATCTGCGAGGCAGAGGTTGCAGTGAGCAGAGATAGAGCCATTGCACTCCAGCAAGCACAAAACAGCAAGACTCCATCTCAAAAAAAAAAAAAAAAAAAAAAGTGGGGCCCAGTGGCTCATGCCTGTAATCCCAGCACTTTTGGAGGCCGAGGTAGGAGTTTGAGGTCAGGAGTCTGAGACCAGCCTGGCCAACATGGTGAAAACCCATCTCTACTAAAAACATAAAAAAATTATCTGGGCGTGGTAGCACACGCCTATAATCCCAGCTACTTGGGAGGCTGAGGCAAAAGACTGGCTTAAGCCTGGGAATCGGAGGTTGCAGCGAGCTGAGGTCATACCACTGCACTCCCACCTGGGCAACAGAGCAAGACTCTGTCTAAAAAAAAAAACAATGGTGTAAAGATGGGGTCTCCCTATGCTGCTCAGGCTGTAATGTGCACTGGTCCATCAACGGCATGAACCTGAGAACTGCCACTGAGCCCCACAGTGTACTGAGCCCATGATCCCAGGGAGGCGGTGACCTGTGTTGTCCCCATTTTACTGACAAAGACTTCGAGGCAGAGAGCTACCATTCCTGCCTGAAGCTACATATGCCGGCAGTCCCGGGTCTGACCTCCAGGAAGGACTGCGGATGGGATGGTCCCCCGTAACCTCTGCTAACGCTGAACCCCATGGTCAGAGCTCTAGCTGGGGTGTGACTTAGGCATGGGTCCTGGTGCCACCCCCCTAACTTGCCCATTGACTTCAGGAAGTTACTTCCCCCCAAGCCTCAGTTTCCTCATCTGTAAAGTGGGAGCCACGACCACCTTGCCTTTCTCAGAAGAAAGATTAGATGGGGAACTAGCTGCTGGTGTAGGGAACAGCGCTGTGCACAGCGTAGACGCGGGAGACCAGAGCTGGCCATTCTTCTTATCACCAACAGGATTCGTTCCTGCTGGATCTCAGCTTTTTTTTTTTTTTTTTTTTTTTTTTTTTTTGAGATGGAGTCTCTCTCTGTTACCCAGGCTGGAAATGCAGTGGCAGGATCTCTGCTCACTGTAACCTCCGCCTTTCAGGTTCAAGCGATTCTCCTGCCTCAGCCTCCTGAGTAGCTGGGATTACAGGCACGTGCCACCGCACCCAGCTAATTTTTTGTATTTTTTTTTTTTTTTTTTTTTAGTAGATACAGGCTTCATTATGTTGGTCAGATTGGTCTCAAACTCCTGACCTCATGATCCACCCGCCTCAGCCTCCCAAAGTGCTGGCATTACAGGCGTGAGCCACCACACCCGGCTGATGTTTATATTTTTAGTAGAGACGGGGTTTCACCATGTTGGCCAGGCTGGTCTCAAACTCCTGACCTCAGGTGATCCGCCCGCCTCAGCCTCCTAAAGTGCTGGGATTACAGGCGTGAGCCGCCACGCCTGGCCTCCTCTGAACTCTTTCCTGCTTCTCGGCCTGGCACAAGCCGTTCCTTCTGCTAGGAATACTCTTCAACCTCATCCCCACCAAGGTGGTTGGGGAGTGCAGAGCCGGCCAGGAGCCTGGGTGGGGCTCACCTGGTCTGGCGCGGAGATGCGCCCCGCAAGGAGGGGGTCGCAGTCGGCGTAGAACACAAACATGACGATGCCACAGCAGGCGGCACTGGACACGATCAGGAACAGGCCCACCTGATTGATGAGCAGGGCCCTGCGGGGAGAGGCGGCCTCGGGGTTAGGGGACAGCCTCAGGCTGGTGGAGGGGCAGCATGTCCCAGAAACCCCCACCCTGCTCCCCGAAACACTCACAGCTTGGCCTGCCTCTCTGTGCGGCAAGCCACGTAACGCTGGACCTGCGCCTGGTTCACGCCGTACATGGACAGCCACACCAACGTGCCACCCACCACAAAAGTCCAGAACGTATAGCGGCTCCTCGGGTCAGGGTTAAAGCTGGGGGGGTGGCAGAGCAAGTCAGACACCTGGAGATGTCTCACTGACTCCACGCTCCCAAGGGCCCCAGGCAGCGCTTCTGGACTTTACTGGGGACATTTGGAGTGGATTTTGTCGGCCGGGCACGGTGGCTCACGCCTGTAATCTCAGCACTTTGAGAGGCTGAGGCAGGCGGATCACGAGGTCAAGAGATCGAGACCATGCTGCTCCACATGATGAAACCCTGTCTCTACCAAAAATACAAAAATTAGCTGGGCGTGGTGATGTGAGGCTGTAGTCCCCGCTACTTGGGAGGCTGAGGCGGGAAAATTGCTTGAACCCAGGAGGTAGGGGGCTGAGGCAGGAGAATTGCTTGAACCCGGGAGGCGGAGGTTGTAGTGAGTCGAGATGGCCCCATTGCACTCCGTCTCAAAAAGGAAAAAAAAAAAAAAAAAAGCTGGACATGATGGCAGGTGCCTGTCATTCCAGCTACTTAGGAGGCTGAGGCGGGAGAATCGCCTGAACCTGGGAGGCAGAGATTGCAGTGAGCCAAGATCACACCATTGCACTGCAGCCTGGGTGACAGAGCGATACTTCATCTCAAAAAATAATAATACTAAAGGAATTAAATTAAAAATAAAAATAAATGGAGTGGGTTTTGAAGTATGCACAGGCATTGGCCAGATTGAAAATTCATGTGTTCGTTTACTGAATCATCTATGTGTGCCCTCAAAAACCATTTTTCCTGTGTCTAGCTGGGAGTTCAGAGCGGCTTTAGCTGCCAATCTGGGCTGAGGGGAGGAGCAGAGAGCCGGAGCCAGGAGAGGCGGGGGCCGGGGGAGCAGTGAGGGCCCCCTGGAGCAGGAGGCATTGGCTGGCTTCTCCCAGGCACAAACAGAGCCCAGAGCCCAGCCCCATCCTCTTTTTTATTTTCTTTTGTGGAGGTGAGGGTGGCTGGGACAGGGTCTCACTCTGTCATCCAGGCTATAGTGCAGTAGTGTGATCTCAGCTCACTGCAGCCTCTGCCTCCCGGGCTCAAGCAATCCTCCAGCCTCAGCCTCCCGAGTAGCTGGGACCACAGGCACACACCACGACGCCCAGCTAATTTTTGTATTTTTGTAAAGATGGGGTTTCACCATGTTGGCCAGGCTGGTCTCGAACTCCTGAGCTCAAGTGATCTGCCCGCCTCAGCCTCCCAAAGTGCTGGGATGATGGGCGTGAGAAACTGTTCCCCGGCCCCAGCCCCATCTTGCAGCAGTATCCTCTGCGTCTTCACTCACTCCATCAGGTTGATCCGGGAGTGGTTCTGGGCCAGCATGAGCACGTGGCGGGGCCCTCCCACAAGCATGACGCCACGGGCCAGGACAACCCAGAAGCCACTTAGCATCACCACCACCTGGAACACATCAGTCCAGACCACAGCCTTCATGCCGCCCTGCAGAATGGGAGAGAGAGAGGGAGAGTGGCTGTTAAATGGGGGACCTGGCTGTGGCTAACCCTACCTGGCCTTCAGCAGTGCCTGGGACTGATGCCCTTCTTTTTTTTTTTTTTTTTTTTTTTGAGACGGAGTTTCGCTCTTGTTACCCAGGCTGGAGTGCAATGGCGCGATCTCGGCTCACCGCAACCTCCGCCTCCTGGGTTCAGGCAATTCTCCTGCCTCAGCCTCCTGAGTAGCTGGGATTACAGGCACGCGCCACCATGCCCAGCTAATTTTTTTGTATTTTTAGTAGAGACGGGGTTTCACCATGTTGACCAGGATGGTCTCGATCTCTCGACCTCGTGATCCACCCGTCTCGGCCTCCCAAAGTGCTGGGATTACAGGCGTGAGCCACCGCGCCCGGCCACACTGATGCCCTTCTATGTCTCAGCTTCCTCATCTGTAAAGTGGGATTGATACTAATACCTTCTCCCTGTGTTGTTACAAGAATTAAGTATATTATTTTATTTTTAAAGAAAGGGTCTCTCTCTATTGCCCAGGCTGGAGTGCAGTGGTGTGATCTCAGCTCACTGCAGCCTGGAACTCTTAGGCTCAAGTGATCCTCCTGCCTCAGCCTCCGGAGCAGCTGAGCTACAGTGGGTGTCACCATGCCCGACTAATTAAAAAAAATATTTTTTGTAGAGATGGGAGGGTTTCATGATGTTGCCCAGGCTGGTCTGGAACTCCTGGCCTCAGGTGATCCTCCTACTTTGACCTCTCAAAGTGCTGGGATTACAGGTATGAGCCACTGTGGCCAGTGGAATTAAGTTAATAAGTGAAAAAGATTTGGAACATGACGTGACACATGCGAGTGTCAGTTAGCGATTGCTGCCATTACTATTATTATGATTGATTGATCGATTGATTGATTTAGAGGCGGAATCTCGCTCTGTTGCCCTGGCTGGAGGGCAGTGGCGCAATCTCTGCTCACCGCAACCTCCGCCTCCCAGCTTGAAGTGATTTTCCTGCCTCAGCCTCCTGAGAAGCTGGGATTACAGGTGTGCGCCACTGCGCCTGGCTAATTTTTGTATTTTTTGTAGAGACGGGGTTTCGCCATGCTGTCCATGCTGGTCTCCAACTCCCGACCTCCAGTGGTCCGCCTGCCTCTGCTTCCCAAAATGCTGGGATTACAGATGCGAGCCACTGCGCCCGGCCACCATTACTATTATTATCACTTTGATAACAATATCGTTATCAAGGTCAGACCTGAGCCAGCCAAAGGTAGCCCTCCCTGGGAACTCAGCCAGCCCCAGGCTGAAGCCAGAGCTCATTTCCTGCTGGTCGGGAAGCCAGCAGAGGTGGAAGCCTGGAGCTGATGGGGCTTGGAGAGGTGGGAGAGAGATGCAGTGGATGAGGTCGGAGTACCTGTATCCAGCCACACCTGAAGCTGCCGTACGTCTAGATTCTCAGCAATGAAATCTTTCAGATCACTTTTCATTACAAAGACGAGGACAGTGGGACAGCTGGGACAGAGACTTCCTCGGGAGAAAGGGGCAAGCCCAGAGACTCCCCACGAGAGACCCAGTGGGCCTGATCCCTCATACGGAGTGGGTTCCCCGGGGCCACTCACCACAGCTGTGTAGAAAGTGCAGATAATTCCGGTTGACAGGAGCGACGCCCAGATGTCCAGCCCGGTCACTATGCAAAAAGAGTCCCCCCACTGTTAGGCCTCTGGGCGGGGCACAAACTTAGTCCCCAGCGTCTCGGGCCCTCCTCTCCCTCCCTTTCTCCTCCCAGACACCCTCCCCTGACCTCCCAGAGTCACACCTTGGTTCAGGATGAGGGCCGGTGCGTAGATGACTATGCCGGTGTACAGCATCTGTAGACAGTGTGGGACAGGTGAGCGGGGGTGGGGTGCGTCTGGGACAGTTGGGGATGGCGAGGGGAGGAGGAAGGGTGGTCCCAGCATATGGGCGGGGCAGATAGGCGGGTCTTGAGGAGTGGAGGCGGGGTCAGGCCGGGTGTGGTGTGGGAGGGAACTGGTGGGGCGGGGCCCGAACGGGGGAGCGTGGGCGGGGACTGGGCGGGGCCACGCGGGTTGGGGCGGGGTCTTGAACAGTGGAGGCGGGGCTAGTGGAGGCCGACGCTCCCGGGCCCCCGCGCGGAGGGCGGGGCCGAGGCCGCTCACCGTGGCTACAATATACTGCACAGTCCCGCAGAGCCGCACCGCGCGGCTGAAGCGCAGCTCCAGGTACTGCAAGGAGGGACTCGAGGTCACCTAGACAGGCCCTACCGGGGGGCCGAGGCCTCTGGGGTCCCTCGCCCGCCCTCTAGATGGGCCCCTCCCTGCGGAAGCCGATCGCGCTCGTGGGGTTCTTGCACGCGGGGGCCCCGCCGCAAGGACACACCTGTGCACACGTGCCATCCCATGCCTGTGTTTACGCCGTGGACCTGGAAGACCGGTCCATGCGTGTGCACCCGCCCTCCCACTTGCGCCTGACCGGTGCGGGCTCCCGGAGAGGCCACGGCTCCTCGGACACCGACGTAGCCCGCAAGCGCGCAGTGTAGACAGTTCCCGGAGCCAATGGTGTTGACCGCCTAGGATTTACCGGTCACGATTTTTTTTTTTTTCCTTTGAGACAAGAGTTTCACGCTGTCGCCCAGGCTCTAGTGCAGTGGCGCGATCTCGGCTCACTGCTACCTCCAGGGTTCAAGCAATTCTCCTGCCTTTGCCTCTCAGGTAGCTGGAATTACAGGCGCCCGCCACCACGCCCGGCTAATTTTTTGTATTTTTAGTAGAGACCGAGTTTCACCACGTTGGCCAGGCTGGTCTCGAACCCCTGACTTCAAGTGATCCATTCACCTCGGCCTCCCGAAGTGCGGAGATTACAGGCGTGAGCCACAGCGCCTGGCCCGGTCACGATTTTAATCAATTTACCCTCTCCCCTGGAGGGAGGTGCTGTGATTCGCCCAGTTGGACATCTGAGGAACCCGAGCAGGAGGCACGCCCCTTGCCCAAGATAGAAGAAAGCGGTGAAGCCGGGTTTCAAACCCCGGAGCCGTCAGCAGTCCCTTCTAGTGCGCACACGTGGGTCTGCATGCGGGGGAAGGTGGGGGCAGGTGTGTGACTGTCCACACTTGGGTACACACCTGGTCGAGCCGGGTCTGGCCCGCGCACTTCCACCGAAGGACCAGGACGCCAGGCCCTCTCTTCCTCCTTCCTGCCCCTGCCCTGCGCCTGCGGCCTCTTCCCAGAACCCTCCCCACGTGTCTGCCTAGGGGCCCCTTCCGTTAAAGCACCGAGGTGCCATTCGCGTCCTCCTGTACAGCGGCTCAAAGCCCTAGGGCCTCCCCCACACCCGGTCCCAGCACTGCCAGTGGGGCGGGTCCTGCCCCCGGGCCTCTGTCCCGTACCTCGTAGGTGCTGGTGAGGCCCAGGCGGTAGAAGACGGGCATGAAGAGCAGGGCAGTGAGGACCGAGTTGAGAAGCTGACCCAGGCACATCCAGAGGAACTTGAGGCCATAGCGGTAGGCCTCCGACGGCACGCCCAGCACCTGTACGGCCGACATGAAGCTGGCGGAGAGCGACAGGCCCACGGGCAGGGCCCCCAGGCGCCGGCCCCCGGTGAAGAAGTCCTCAGCGCTGCGCTGCCCGCCCCGAGCCAGCCCGACCCACAGCCCGATGCCAGTGGACACCAGGAGCATGAGGGCAAAGACCCCGTAGTCCCAGGCTCCGAAGGTGGGCCGTTGCCCGGTTTCCACGGCCTCCATGAGGGCGGGTGCGGAGACCCAGCGCGTTCTCGGGCGCCCTGAGTGCTCCAGCTGGAGGAGCCGGCAGGGGCCGACGACGGGGCGGGCGGGTGGGAGGATGCTGAGCCGCCTGTACCCCCTCCGTCTGGGGTGGGAAGCTGCGAGAGTGGCTGGGGCTCCCTGGGTTAGGTCTCTGGGTTGTCGCTGTCTTTGTCGGCCTCCCCTGTCCCCGCTCTCTGTCTCTGCGTCTGCCCCTGCTGTCTGTCTGTCCGGCCACCTCGCCTCTCACTCGGGGTTCTGTTGTGCCATGCAGCCGGCTGTCTGTCCCTCTCCCTGGGCGCAGTGCTCAGCGCCCACAGCTGGAGGTCGCCTTGGGGCTTAAGGGAGCATAGCTCGTGATTGTGGGTTGCAGATTTATTGGGCTCCCGGGTCACCGCGACTCCGCCTCCAGACCTAGGGGCGGGCAGGACCCGCACCCTTTCCGCCCTGGACTGGGATAGATAGGCTGGGACAGGCTACCTGGGTAGCTGTAGGGGGTGGTGGCGGGGAGGCCTCCCAAATGCCCCCCCATCCCCCTGCACCCACTTATCCCCATGTGCCGTAATCACGGCTGTCACTCTCTGCTATTGACAGGTGGGGAAATTGAGGCTCAGAGAGGGCACATCACTTGCCTGAGGCCGCACGACCTGCTTCAGCACTCAAAGCCGCGGTGTGCTTGAATACCTTGGGCTATGGGGAGCTCACTTTCATAGAGGACTGGGGTTCACTTTCAGGGTTTCAAGGGACCCATAAAGAAAACTTACTCGGCCTTAATCGTGTGAAGCCAGGCGGTGGAGGATGCTGTGAGCCGAGATCGTGCCACTGCACTACAGCCTGGGCGACAGAGCAAGACTCCGTCTCAAAAACAAAAAACAAACAAAAAAACTTACCCGGCCTTACCACCCCCGAACTGGCATGTGGGCCTACCCTTTCTCTAGAACGTTAGGGTTGGGCATCACTGAACCCTGCTCTCGGGCTAAGCTGGGTAGGAGACATTCAGAGCCCAAGTCCTGAGTGGGTACATACTTGGGGAAGTCTTTGCTCCTCCCTGGGCCTCAGTTTCCCCATATGTAAACAGGGATAAAATAGTCCCTGCCTCAGAGGAATAAATGGGACCTGGTAACACAAGCCTGGTACATAAGTGCCTCATTCATTTGTTCCTTTATTTATCATGACTTCATTCATTCATTGATTGTTGTCCCTGTGCCAGGCATACATGGCTCATGGAAGTGGTGGGCGCTTTCAAGGCTGTGAGCTGGAATAAGCAGAGACCATGACCACTAGGGAGGTCGGGTCTGGCTTGTCGGTATCACATAGACGAGGAAGTCAAGGTTGCAGGGGTGGGGGGGTGGGGAGGGGGTTGGTGGGGATAGTCCATTGCTGGGAGTCATGCTACCATGAGTATCAAGGAGCTGTCATCTCGGGGCCCTTCTCTGAAGAACCCAGGGGGACTTTGACCTCTGGAGGTTCTGGTCTCTGGGTTCAAGTCTCAGCTCAGCCTCCAACTTCCTGGGTGACCACGCATCTCAAACTTGGTTCCCTCCATAAGCTGGCGGAATCTGATTTTCTGGGGGTTGAATGAAACAGGGTGAGAGGCCCAGCCTGGTGGCTCACGCCTGTAATCCCAACACTTTGGGAGGCTGAAGTGGAAGGATCATTTGAGTCCCAGAGTTCAAGACTACCCTGGGCAACACAGTGAGACCGTATCTGTAAGAAAACACAAAAACTAGCTGGGGTGGTAGCACCTGCCTGTAATCCCAGCTACTCAGGAGGCTGAGGCAGGAGGATCGCTGAGGGTGGGAGATCAAGGCCGCAATGAGCTGTGGTGGAGAACTGCACTGCACTCCAGCCTGGGCAGCACAGCAAGACCCTGTCTCAAAAAAAGGAAAGAAAGCAATCAAAGCGCGTTCGAGGCCTTCTCGCCAGCCTCTGCCGCCCCCTAGTGGCCTCCTCTGGGCCGCTCCAGCTGGGTGCAGCGTTTCTCCATGCGTCCCCACGACAGTCCTCTTGCTCCCTCTCCGCTGCGCAGGGTGGGCCTGTCCCTCCCGCTGGGGCTGTGACATTGCGGCGGCTGCACGGGCACCTGTTGCCTGCTGGCGAGTGCCTCCTGCCCTCGTCAGGAGAGTGGGTTGAGCACCGAGTTCTTCCTCCGTCCACCCTGGTCAGCCATCCTCCCGGAAACCCGGTTGGAAAAGGGGACATCGGCCCCGCGCGGCGGCTCACGCCTGGAATCCCAGCACTTTGGGAGGCCAAGGCGGGTGGATCACGAGGTCGAGAGATCGAGACCATCCTGGTCAACATGGTGAAACCCCGTCTCTACTAAAAATACTAAAAATTAGCTGGGCATGCATGGTGGCGGGTGCCTGTAATCCCAGCTACTCAGGAGGCTGAGGCAGGAGAATTGCCTGAACCCAGGAGGCGGAGGTTGCGGTGAGCCGAGATCGCGCCATTGCACTCCGGCCTGGGTAACAAGAGCGAAACTCCGTCTCAAAAAAAAAAAAAAAGACCAGTCCTGCCAACATAGTGAAACGGCGTCTCTACTACAAATACAAAAATTAGCTGGGCATGGTGGCGAGCGCCTGTAATCCCAGCTGCTCTGGAGGCTGAGGTGGGAGAATCGCTTGAACCCGGGAGGCAGAGGTTGCAGTGAGCAGAGGTCGCGCCATGGCACTCCAGCCTGGGCGACAGAGCGAGACTCCGAGACTCCATCTCAAAAAAAAAAAAGTAAAAAAATAAAAATAGAAAAGGGGCTATCCCAGCGGAATCCCCTACTTGCAAAGCCCTGCCGGCCAATGCAAATATATGCAAATTGTGCAAATACATGCAAATAGACCCCTTCTCTCCAGGGAAGTTATGCCACTTCAGAGCTTCTCTTCTTCCCACCGTGGGGTCCGGGCTGCGGCCAGAGGCTGAGAGGCTCATTCATTGAATGCTTACTGTGTGCAGGGCCCTCCGCCAGGGGCTGGGGACACAGCGTGATCCAGGTGAACCCACCCCAGGGTGGTGATGGCTCTGACCTCACTCGTTTCAGCCAGGCGCTGTGGCTCACACCTGCAATCCCAGCACTTTGGGAGGCTGAGGTGGGAGGATCGCCTGAGCCCAGGAGGTCGAGGCTGCAGTGAGCAGTGATCACACCACTGAATTCCAGCCTGGATAGATGGAGGCAGCCTGAGAGGGACATGCTGAGAGGCCTCTGAGAGAGGACCTTTGCCCGGTGAGCCGAGACATACAGGCAGAGAATGAGGGAGCTTGGAAAGTGGAGGGTGCTGGGGAACCCTAGGAGAGTTTGGAGCAGGAGAGGAGCCCATGAGATTTCTAGGTGCTGAAAAATGGGTCATATCCAAGTGGCGGGAGAGGGGTGGCTGCCGGGTGGGGAGAGGCAAGTGGATTTGGAATGCACTTTAGAATTCCTGAGGAGGTCTGGAGTGAGGGCCCCTGCAGAGTGGGTGGGACCATCTCCTGACCTAGGGGAGGGAATTGTGAGCCTAGAGAGGAGAAGCAGCAGAGTGGGGAGAATCAGGTCACACCTTCCGTGACTGTGATTCCAATCATAGGAGTGGGCAGCAGGAACCCAGGATGTGAGTTAGGGAGGGCCCAAGGCCGAGGCAGACAACGTGGGCGGAATGTGCAGGAATGGGAGAGTGGTGGCAGTGTCGGGCGCTGTCCCCACCCCCTTGGTTCCCTGGAGACGTGGCAGGGGTGAGGGTGAGAAGTTGAACTGTTGTGACTGCAGCATAACCTGCTGGGTGGCCCTGGACATCAATTCCCCTTCTGTGAACCGGGAGTGACAGTGGGATTTGAACCCACGCCATGGGGAGCCAGAATCTGTCCTTGAACTTCACCACCTTGCCCGGGTAATTTAAAAAAAAAAAAAAAATTTTTTTTTTTTAAATTTTTAGTAGAGATAGGGTTTCACCATGTTGGCTAGGCTGTTCTCAAACTCCTGACCTCAGGTGATCCACCCGCCTCTGCCTCCCAAAGTGCTAGGATTACAGGTGTGAGCCACCGCGCCCAGCCAAAAATTGTTTTAAACTAGCCAAGTTTAGCAGGGCTCAGTGGCTCATGCCTGTAATCCAAGCACTGGAGGCAGAGGCCAGGAGTTCAAGACCAACCTGACCAACATGGAGAAACCCCATCTCTACTGAAAATACAAAATAAGCCGGACATGGTGACACATGCCTGTAATCCCAGCTACTCGGGAGGCTGAGAAAGGAGAATCGCTTGAACTGGGGAAGCAGAGGTTGCGGTGAGCCCAGATCATGCCATTGCACTCCCACCTGGGTGAAAACAGCAAAACTGTGTCTCAAAAAACAAACACACACACACAAACAACAACAACAAAACTAGCCGAGTTTGGTGGTGTGCACCTATAGTCCCAGCTACTTGGGAGGCTGAGGCAGAAGGATTGCTTGAGTTGGGGAGGTTGAGGCTGCGGTGAGCAGTGACTGTACCACTGCATTTTAACCTGGGTGACAGAGGAAGAATCTATCTCTAAAAAACTAAATAAATGCTAACCATTCTTCCTTGCTGCGGCTGCTGTCTGTAAGATTTCGTAATTTGACCGGGCGCGGTGGCTCACGCCTGTAATCCCAACACTTTGGGAGGCCCAGGTGGGTGGATCACCTGAGGTCAGGAGTTCAAGAAACCCTGCCTCTACTAAAAATACAAAATAATCAGCTGGGCATGGTAGCGGGAACCTGTAATCCCAGCTACTCAGGAGGCTGAAGTAGAAGAATTGCTTGAACCTAGGAGGCAGAGGTTGCAGTGAGCCGAGATTGAGCCACTGCACTCCAGCCTGGGCGACAGAGAGAGACTCCATCTCAAAAAAAAAAAAAAAAAAAAAAAAAAAAGATTCTAGCTGGGCGCAGTGGCTCGCACCTGTAATCCCAGCATTTTGGGAGGCCGAGACGGGTGGATCACCTGAGGTCAGGAGTTTGAGACCAGACTGGCCAACATGGTGACACCCCATCTCTAAAAAAAGA